CCAGTTAATTTCACTGGCTATATCACCTTGCTGTGAGTAAGACCGCTTCAAATGTGCTTGGATCTGTTGCAAAAGGAGGATCCACGAGCGGGATTCGAACCCAGCAGCCCTGTCTTTCCGGGACAGTGCCCTACCGATTAGGCTACTGGGGATCACACACACTCATGGGTCCTTCTTGCTACATATCCGTACAAAAACTGGATGCATGTGGATCCAGTTTTTGAATTTTTGAAATAGTTGCTATGCTGTGACGTAGCACTTTCAAGCCCTATACGGAAGCTTTACTCTGTCTATGGTTCTCTGAAGGAAATTTAAAACCAACATCTTCATCTGCCTGTTGGGTATACCCAAGTAAAATAACGAGAGAGCTTGGAAGCTCAGGGCCCTACGCTATGCTTTTTTGCCTTGATGACCAAGACAAAAAAAAAGCATAGGGATGTTATATATTCTTTAAAAAATTCCTTTTTTTTAAGACATAACCTGGGATTCGAACCCGCACTATCGCGCGCCCTGCATGCATCCCCCGATACACTTCGCATACATACTAATTCTTCCAAGTTGTTTCACATTGTGATCTTGCATTTGAAAGCCCTATTTGAATATGCATTGTGGCCAGCCGTCTTTGATGGCACGGTACGGTAGGGGATAGGTACGGGACAGGTACGATCGAGGGTAATACGACACCGTCCCCCGTACCGTACCGTGCCATCAAACACAGCTGGCCACATACAGCTGCCCGCAATATTCAAATAGGGCTTTCACACGCAAGATAATAATGTAAAGCAACTTGGAAGAATGGGTATGAATGCGAAGTGTATGGGGGAATGCATGTAGGGCGATAGTGCGCGTTCGAATCCCAGGATATGCCTGAAAAAAAGGAGAATTGAAAAATTGATAACACCCTATGCTTTTTTGCCGTCAGATACGGATAGCGCCAGGCGTGACACAAACAAACAAACAAACAAACACACAAACACACAAATACCAAACGAGAGAGCTTGGAAGCTCAGGGCCCTGCGCTATGCTTTGTTGCCTAGCTCATCGTGTATGTTGTTAGAACTGATGGAAATGCTTTTTCCTTTGATTAGCTACATCATTGTATTGCAAAAACGTTTCACTGAGATACTGAAGTCACGTCTTCTGCATAGCTATGGGACCGGCGCTGACTCTGCCGATCACGGGCGTTCTGGAGTCAACGGGATGTCTGTCCTGACGTTTCCTGGGACCGGCGCTGACTCTGCCGATCACGGGCGTTCTTCTTCTTCTTATTATTATACTGACGGCAACTAACATCCATTCTGATTGCATTTACTCGTCTCCCTACTTCGTATTTCTTTCCAGAAAATCTCCCCATACAGCAGGGAGTCGTTTACAGAATATGACACCCTGCTATACATCTACATGACTGTATATACGTTATAATTATTATGCTATCGGCCTATATGCGATTCCCGGGCTGGTCGACAGGCGGCCCAGCCAGCCAGCTAGTGGGATCTCGGCCTCGCACACAAATCCACACAAAATGTTACTGCACTGAATGCATTCCCCCGATACACTTCGCATATATACTCATTCTGTTGATGGTACCGTACTCTTGATGGTACGGGACAGGTAAGGGATAGCGCCAGGCATGTCGATGGCACAAACAAACAAAAATATTGTGGCCAGCTGTCTTTGCTGGTACGGTACAGTACGGGACAGATACGGGATAGCGCCAGGCGTGACACAAACAAACAAACAAACAAACAAACAAACAAACAAACAAACACCAAATTAAAGCTGTGTGGACCCTGGCTAGCGCCAGACGTTACTGAAGTAACGTCTTCTGCATAGCTACGGGAATTAAAGCTGTGTGGACCCTGGCTAGCGCCAGACTTTACTGAAGTAACGTCTTCTGCATAGCTACGGGAATAAAAACTACTACTACTACTACTATCTGTACGAGCTGAGATGCCGTGACTTCACAGGTGTCAATGGCCAGTCTGTGGGCAGTAAGTGCGAGCTCCAACGCTAGAAGAAGACACTTCCGACAAGTATCACAATAATAACTATTATGTTCTACAAATTTCACGATGCTTTCACTGCACACAAGGAGAGAGTGACAATTTCAACATTGAACACAGAGGACCTCGACCCGCACCCAATGGGCTATTACGTTCTCTTGATTTCGTTCGATCAGAATTGATTGTGTTCCCCTGGCCGTGGACTACTGTGTACGCGTTGAATTGGCAGTTCAATAGGTGATACCCATGAGCCTTCACAGCACAAACTGAGCCAGCAGAAGGCAAACAAATACATGCAAGTTTCCACAAATAATTCATTTATGTATGGTTCAAGAAAATTAAGCGTTCGGAGCCTAGTCCTACCAGCTCCACCTCTCCCGAGGCTCTGTCGCTCCACTTCATCACCAGAATGCGCTCAGGGGAATATTCCATGTACAGCAAGCCCTTGCGTTTGTCTGGTTGGACGGTCGTATTGCGCAGGGTCATGCGACCAGCCTTGAACTGGATGAGCTTGCTGCTCTCGGCAGAGGAACCGAACAGAGCCATTCTTGAAGCGAGTGCTCGGGTATACAGACGCAAGGTAAAATCTCCTGAAAGGCAACTTGGAATGAAATAGGGCAGAGAATGAACACACGGCACCTTGCTTCTTCGTCTACTTTTGCTCTCTGATTTTTTTTGGAAATTTTAGGATTTGATTTTGAATCTTTCACTCAGCACTGAATTCATGGACGACGTCACAAAAACATCTTTTTCTGAATAGAAACAAAAAAAAGACAAAGAGTACATTGCAGGGCTAGGGATCGGGAAACAGCTTTGAGAATAGACCCTTTGCGCAATAAGCGAGAGGGGTCGAGACGGGGCATGCTGTGCACGCGCTGCACACTTGGCATGCAACCAGCATGCATGGTTTTGCTGCAGGACGTGATCAAGTTTCCTGTGACAGGCTGTGTTTTCACGGTCCCGACGCGATGTTCATGTATGTACTCCCCAGCCTTTTTCATTTTCAAGTTTTTCTAGTTCTGAAGGAAGAAGTCCCGAAATGCTTTCCAAGGACCCCTGTTGGGTTCTTGTTTGCAGCAACCGTCATCCCTAACGTTAGTCTAAGGAACCCACTTGTCTTTCCATGCGTTCCCTGGTGATGCTGGCATTCCACACTCTGGAATCCTGGCTATCTGGCGAGAAGAGGGCCGGGTACTGAGGGCCGCAGTGCTGCGATATCGTTTACAGTGTTGTGCTCGGAACACTTTGTCCATGACGACTTTCATCCTTGCTTTTGCGAAGATATGGAACGCCCTGCCAAGAGACTCTGGAGCTTGAGAAAAAGGCATGACCCATCCCTGTCTTCGCTATTGGAAGATCGACTGCTTGCTGGCGCTGCTCGAGCTGCTGTTGTTGAAGTGGAGAGAGACGCGGCCTCATCGCTCAGGTGTGCGGAGAAAGTCATCTGAGTTCGAGCTGTGGCTGTGTGCACGATATGACAGACTTTCACATTATGCACATAGCCACCAAAGTAAAACTCGTGGACACTATCCACGGGCTTGTTCACTAGTACTACTCCATCAGCTCCCTCTTCACTGTCGTCGGCGACTTGCCCCTGCGTTGGAGACGAGCAAGCATGGTGTGGCACTCACTCTGGGAAACAGAGGTTCATCACTCATCCACTGGGACGCATGAAATGTTGGGCATGATGAAGGTACACTCGAGGAAGTGGTGCCCTTCTTAGTTCTAGGAGCATCAGGGTTCTGCATAGAGAAGTGTTCTCTACATCGACAGAGGAGAGAAGGTAGAGAAAATAAAAATAAATTTCAATCTACAGTAATCCGAAATATCCACTGAACGCGGAAAACTTACCGCTCCAACAACTCCTTCTTTTTCCAGACAGATACGCACCCTCATTCAGCAGAAAACTGTTCAGTTCCTTACACAACCGATCTTCATTTGACAGTTCGTCCACGGGTTCCACAGCCATCGATGGCAAACCACTCGACACTCTCTCCTCCATCTCCAAAATGGAAAAATACAGTGTTCCACCATGCTCAACAACTGATACTCTGCACAAAAATCGAAGAGGATGCCCCGTCTCGGATCACGTGACCGTTATTGTGCAAAGGGTCTATTCAAAATTCCGATGAATGGTTCATGGTTGAAGCAACAAAAAGTACACTTGAAATAATGCCCATGTTCTGCATGTGAAATCGCTGCATTCGTTCCGTCAACAAGACTAAGACCAAAAGACCAACAGCAACAACGAGAACAACAATAAAGAGACCAACATGATCAGGCGCGTGCCACGTATAGGTTCCTGGGTACCCGGAACCCCCCTTTTTTTCGCTCAAAATGCATGATTTTGCTTCATTTTTTGAACATTTTCCCGGGGGAGGTCCCCCGGAAACCCCCCTTGAAGGGCACCGGCGCACGCGCCTGATCATCAACAACAACAACAACAACGACGACAACGCGCTAACGACATCGGCGACAATGACAACAACAACAACAACAACACATGTTTTTTTGTTGTTTCAGTGACGTGTGGTAAAACTTTTTTAGCTCTGAAAAAATCTCCTGGTTGGGCGTTTAGCCCCATGCACCGATGCCCGGGTCGTTCCGGGGTCATGGAGGCCACTGATATATCTCGGGAACCAGCTGAAGTCGACCCATGGCGGCCCGAAAGTAAGCGCCAGGGACCTGATGGCCCGAACTGTGATATTTCCAGGTCCAAAGGATTTGAAACTCGCCGAGTACGTGAGCTGCCTCGACTCTGAGCAACACGGAATAGGAGCCGAGCTCATCCTATCTATCTGAGGTCAGTTCAGTAGGCCAATGCAGATTAACGTTCGCAGATACTCCAGCTTGCCCAGTTAGTCGTGAAGAATGGCTTTCATATCAATGGACAACATATCCTTCCAAAATCCTTGACAGAAAATCGCTGTGCTCATGTTCACGGTTGCAATTCACGATGTTCCTGTGTGGGTGTCGGATGGCGGCCGCACAGTTGCGCTTCAGGCTCCATACGGTACCGTGCAGGGCGCCATCCGCCACGGTAAACTTAAGGTACGGGACAACGTTGTTATTGCAACCGGAGTCCGTTTTGCAACCTTCGTACTTGGGTCGAATAGGGCTTGAAAGTGATGACGTCAAAACGGCCAGGGAGTAGTAAGTTGACATCAGATTTCTATTTTTGGATCCACTAAGGTGTGACTTTGCTATTGCCTAAGTATGTGGGTGCATAGCAACCCACTCATGTCGCATGCAGGTGTGACTTTTATTTCGCCACCAGTTGTAACCACGCCCCCAGTAGCCAAATCAGTCAGTTTCACTGGTTACATCACCTTGCTGAGAGTAAGACGGCTTGAAATGTGCTTGGATCCATACAAAAACTGGATCCAAGTGGATCCAATTTTTGAATTTTTGAAATTGTTGCTATGCTGTGACGTAGCACTTTCAAGCCCTATAAAGCCGTGCCTTTGTATCGGAAATCCAGAGACGGGAAAGGCACTTTCCGCTTACACTATAGTGACCAAAAGCCCACATGTCGGATTTGCAGCAAGACAGAGCACCTCGCCAAGGACTGCCCTGAGGCCCGCGGTACCACTGCCAAACCCGATAGTACACAGCAGCCACGTCATTCAACGGCACCTACATGCACAGACATTGAACGCACACGTCGACTCCTATCTGATGTGGTCGCAAACCCAGCCCAGACAGCGCAGCAAAGTAAAGCCGATCACAACGCCCAACATCCAGGTCTAAGCAGGCTGGTCTCCCAGCCGCAGCTGACATGAGCAACTCCAGCTCCTCTGAGTCTGGAGAGCTGCCCTTTCCTGCTGATGCTGAATCATTAGTCGACAATGAAAGCTTATCCAAGCCGGCGGAGATCCAGCAGCCATCAAACTTGCCCTGCGACTCCGACAGGGAGGCCAAGAAGGCAGACAGCGATGCATGTACAGCCCTAGGCCCACAGCTGGGAGGCCATAGCGACGATGATCCTGATTCTGGCGGGTGGGAAGTCAACCGGTCCTTGGAGTAAACACCCTCATGGCTTTGCATGGAAACAGGAGTTTACCCGTTCTGTAAACAATGCTATCGCAGTCCTGACTAGATCCAGAGTTTCCAAAGAGAACAGCCTCAGATATAGCTTGTCGAATGGGTCCCTGAAGGAGAAGGAATGGTGGACGAAGCTAAAGTGCGCTTGCGGCGAGGAACGGGACACTGACATCCCCCTGCTCAGCGTTGATAGTGAAGGTTGCGAGAGGGCCACAAGCTATGGGAAATCGAAGGCTTTCGCACGTTTCTTTCCCAACAAATGCATGCAGTGTTCAAGGCCGCGACCTTACTACGATGGACTTACTGGACACCGCATTCGCGGGCGCACCTGCACTAACGACAGTCCACTTTCATCCCGATGCAGTCCACCAGCTTTTAGCTCGTCTGGATGCCTCGACTTGAAGGCGACTGGACCCGACGGTATTTACGCTCGTTTCTTGAAGGAATGCACCAGAAAACTTGCCAAGCCACTGTGTCAGCTCTTTGCTTCCAGCACGGAGTCCAGCCACAAATGTGGAAGACTGCCAGCGTGGTTCCAATCCACAAGCGATCTTCACGATCCGCCTTGACGAATTATCGCCCAGTTTCACTGCTGAGCATAATCTCTAAGATCATGGAGAGCATTGTCAATCGTCAACTCATGAATCACCTTGAGCGTTACAAGCTCCTGATACCCCACCAGTTCGGGTTTGTCGCGGTCTCGGGACCTCAGATGCGCTACAGGCTCTACACCATGCCTGGATCGCAGGCGCCGGCCGAGGCGGTGCAGCACGTATTCTAGCCGTGGATATTACCGGAGCATTTGAACGTGTGTCCCATGCTGGCCTCCTCCACAAAGTTCGCCATCTTGGCATTGGCAGCCCCTTGCATACCTGGCTTTCTCCCTACCTAGGTGGATGGTCCATTCAATGCTTGATGTGCGGCCAAACTTCATCGCTGTACACCATGTCAGCAGGAGTTCCCCAAGGGAGCATACTCGGCCCTACACTCTTCCTGATTTACGTGAACGACGCCTCAGAGGCCCTCTCACCCAGAGCCCACCTGGAGGCGTACGCCGACGATACTACCTTGTACAGCCTGATGTACCTCGACACATCCCCAGCCGACGCAGCATTGAGCCTCCAGACTTCTGTTGATCGCTTGCATCAGTGGGGCCGTAGATGGCGCATCTCCTTCGAACCGTTGAAGTCCCAAGCCATAACCGCCACTCTCCGCAGAACCCCCATCAATTTATTTGCCTCGCATTCAGTCTCTCTGATTGTCTTCGGCGGCACTCCTGTCCTTGAGGAGAAGGCTCTCTCTTTACTTGGAGTGACCTTTGATTTGAACCTGTCATTCAACACTAATCTCCGGAAGGTTGCCGCTCGAGCCAGACAACGCCTAGCCTGGGCTTCCTGCACTGTGCAGCGCACGTGCACATTCTCTCCCCAGCCGGCCGCACCACAGTCCACAGTACACAAAGGCATTTGTTTGACCGGTTATCATCGCGGCCCCCCTCATCTGGATAGGTGCTTTGCCCAGCTACCTGCAACGCCTGGATCATATCCAACGCTGTGCTCTGCGAATCATCGGTCCAGGTGCACTATTAGCTAGCCTGGCCATCCGCCGTATACTGCTGCCTTGCTTGCCTGCCTATACAAGCTGCATTACCTGCCTGGCCCTCCGCAGCTGCTCTCTGTATTGCCACCGCGCCATTTCCCCTCATCCAGCGGCCCCAGAACCCGCAGCGAACATGGTAGTGTCATTGTCCTTAACCACCAGCTTCAACACCAGCTGCTTGCATCTGTCCCGCTGGCATTGAAGCGCTCGTTTCCACACTGCAGTCATGATTAGTGACTGGAACTCCCTCCCCGCCGCTCTTCTGTCCCAGCCTCCCCACAACAAGGAGATGCAAGCATTCAAAACAAACGTTTAGGCCAAGTAAAAAAAAAAGCTAGATGATCGTCCCCGTCCGCCCCAGTTTTTGTCAGCGCCCCAAGAAATATTTTATTTTTTAAATCGTGAGTTTTTGCCGAAATCGTTGGTTTTTTACCGATCGCGGATGCAGGAAACATGTGCACGCTTTGTTTAATACTTTCTTTACTATATGGACCACATACTACTAGTATTATCACAACGTCAGTATCGATCTGCTGAAGAAAGAAAAAGAAAAAAAGAAAAAAAAAGAAAAAAAGAGAAAAAAAACCTTGATGTTGTTGTGTACACTGTGTGCATGAGAGGGTAAAAAGTAAAAAAATAAAAATAAAATCCTCCCGCCCTCCCCGATTTTTCCAAAAAAAAGGACGATCATCTAGTAATTTTTTTTACTCGGCCTTATCGCTTCTTCTTGTGTGCTCCAGACGGCAGTCGTGAGTCAGTCAAGTGTCAGGCAGTCGGCAGGAAGCGCGAGCAGCCACCTAAATGTGACCTTTTTCTGGTTTTATACGAGGGGTGCTGTAGCAATGATGTGCTACAATAGTCTTGACAGCTTGCCTTGAGCCAGTCAGAATAGGAATGGAACATACTGACAGGGGATTTCCTAAACTGGCCCGTAGTACGAGCTGCAGGTAACGAGGCAGCCTCCCAAAGGCAAAGTACGTGTACCCTCGATATGTGAACCAGGGTGTCGTCAAATCCGACTCCCTGATATGATCAGACGTAGACGTAGACCCCTACGTGAACCCTGGTAACCCTTTTTGGGATTCATTGTATTGTTGTCGCTGCGCCCTCCAAGGAGACCCCTCACGGATCCCCGCAATCTATCATAGCTATCTCGCGCTCTAGCTCTGCGGCCTCTGCATCTGCCCGCCCATGCGCATATGGCGCCCAATCCAGCTGAATGGAAGCCTCAACAGGCTGAAGCCAAGGAGGGGCGTGTGTAGGGTGGGGGACCTGGTTGGGGGCACCTGTTTCGTAAAGTTGTACCGCTAAGTCCGCTTTTCATTCTCAGGTGTTCCTTTTTGATGGGGCGTACCTATTCCCTCCTTCCCGACACCCTAAAAAAAAATAGGTAGATTCTTCTTCTGTATGTCCAACCTAAGATTTTGTAAGAGATAAAGAAGATAATAAAAAAGTGCAAACAGCCGATAAATTCCCTGCATGTCTGCCTGCACCTGCCCCGAATGCAAGGTTTTCCACCGCGGTGTGTTGCCTTTGACTGAGTAGCTAGGGCTGTAGGTTTTGTCAGGCATCTCGACGTGACGTGCCCGCCGCCTGCTGACGTGCCCGCCGCCTGCTAATTAACGTCCTGACTGTGCATGTGGATACTGGCTGGAGACTTCCTCCGCAGGACTCGGTGAACGAACAATGTAAGTCATCAACGGCTCCAACCTATCTGTCGGGAGCCGGCTGCCTTTTTGCGGAAGCATGGGAAGCCGAATTAGTTTCTGGTGCACACTGTCCCCCAATGGCAATGTGTAGCCGGTCTTCACTGGCGCGAGGTCGTTTATTGAAAGTGGGAATCAAAGCAGGCACAAGTGTTAACAAGCCGTAATAATAAGGGCGCGTTCAGACTACCGTGAACCCCGTCAAACCGTGAATGCCGATAAACCGTGAAGGACATTCACACTACCGATAACAAACTAACGTTACCGTGAAGTTTTCAGCTCTCACCGCGGCACTGACAAGGGATTTTCCCTTTTTTTCGCAGCGCGCATGCAGCCTGAGCACTTTTTTACTGCCGGTAAAAGTTTACTGCCGCAGCAGCCGCGGCAGTAAAACTTTCCCACCGGTAACGTGCCAGTAACGTCACGATCAAATCACCTTGGCGACTTTCCCAATCGGTCACTTTTTATCGGTAGTCTGAACGCGCCCTAACCGTGTACCCCTCATTGCCGGGGCTATTGGTGAACAGAGGATGAAAGCACAGGTGAAATAATGTTCCGCCTTCCATTTAATGTGTGAGCACAAGATGGCTATGCAGAGCTTCAGTCATCCAGGATATTCATTTATCCAGCAGCGTCCGGTCCCGAGGGTGCCGGAAAACTGATACACAACCATGGTAACTGCACGTGACGGTGGGAGAAATTTGAAAATGCCAACGCACATACAAGTAGGCTTATAGGCTGTCATCACACAACAGCACAAAGCGCTGCATCACGTCCACGTAAGGAGTTTTTGATCGGTTGCCATGATGATCCATGTTCGGGGTGAAATGGGGAGCAGAGGAAGCGAGAAACGTAGACATGGCAGGAAGAAAGGGGGGGGGGGTACAACTTTTCGGATGAGCCCCTCAATCATTTTTGTTATATTTTCCAAGCGACCTTGTACGTGCGTTTGAATTACCAAATTTCTCCAGAAACGTGATCGTGTGTACGGGTCAAGAACTGTGCCTGTGTGACGCATGGTCGTGGATTTTTCACTGTGGACGTGTGTCGTATAGAGCACGCAGAGTTTGCCGCAGAGCAGTGTGAGGGCACGTGCTGGTCACCGACCTTGTAATGTAACACCCGGCCAAGTGCCCGAGGCAAAACTTCCCAGATGACTCACGGTGCGTGCGCCGTACGGTATGACTCATGATTTCCAGAAAAGATGAGGTCAACAAAGAATTCCGCCGCTAGCCATATCATCTCGAGTTGCACACTCAGGTCGGCTGAGGGCAAAAAGCCTCACCATCACTATGCAATTTTTTGTCTTTGCCTATGAGCTGTGATCATTGTAAAAAAAACAAAAAAACAAAAAAAACATTCTTGTTTATCTACTCACTGCTAGTACTCTACTGCCGTACATGCAAACATTTCGATTGGCGCGGCAAAACTTAAGCGAAAACACTCCTTTCGCTAAAATATCACTGGCGTTAAAATTAGCGGTTTTACAGCAGGTTCATGCCGGTAAGGGCCTGGTCAGACTGCGGCAAATTTTCGGTGCCTGACGAAAAAAGAATATCGTTCAGGATTAGAATTTGCTACCACACTACACATGCATGGAGAATGAAAATTCAAAATTCATTTCGAGCGTCGAGTGGTGATCTCCACGAAAAACGTCAAATTCCTTCACCTCGGTGATCGCCAACACCTTCCAGGGCCGGAGGCTGCATCCGCGGAGCGGTGTGGCCGGAGGGCCATCTTTAAGGGGGTCCGGGGATCCTCCCCCAGAATTTTTTTGGAATTTAGATGGCAAATCCTGCACTCTGGGCGACTCCCTGTACAAAATCATACATCGAAACTTTTTCTCCCCGGTTTTGGACGTTCCACGTGGCCCGACTTTTTGGGAAGTTGATACGGCCATGGCCGAACTGGCCGTACCAAAGGCACCGGTCCTGCCTTCAGTGCAATCCTTGCAACCATCCTTATGACTGTTGTGTTGTTGTCCATGGTCAAATTAGCTCCTCGATATGCAGATGAAAAAATCAGTGGACATCAGCCTCAATGGCGTATCAGCGTCAAACTCCTGTTTGGGGCGGAAAGCGTGGTCCGTTCTTGCTTTTTTTTGGAGTGTCAACCCTCGATTTCACCACTCTGGCGTCAAGTTTCTATGGAGATTCGGATTATAATCTCAGGCTTATTTAGTTTTTGCCGCAGTCTGACCAGGCCCTTAGTTAAAGGTATAGTGTGGGTCAGCCTGCACAGCTGGATACCACCAATCTGTATTGCACTAGTGGTGTTACGCTTTGTGCTGTGTCCTGTGCAGTGTGCAGTGGGAGAAGATGATGACGGCCACTCAGATACTATCGGCCGTGGTGCTCCTGCTGGTGCAGTTTGTGCATGCGAATGAAATGCGTAAGTCTGCAAATAGCGCAATCATCACGACTCTCTGGCCATTCTTGCAGGAATAGTGAGGTCCTATGTCAGATCTCTGTCCCTTCCCCATTGAAGCGTGCTTGAATCATGCCCGTACTCATTAGTCATTACGTCGCTAAAATGATGTAATCCTGGAATTTCACCTTGACATCAACCCATCTGCACCGTCTGGGCTTCATACTCTTGCTATAACCGACTTCTACCAGCCTTAAACCTGGTAGAGCCAATAGAGAAAAGTGCCGATAGAATCTACCCTTTTGAGTGTGATTCAGAGCGCCCGGCCTAGATGTGTATGAGTGTATGGGGGATGGGGGTACGAATGGGTAGCAAAAAAAACTGGCCTTGCCCCCAGCGTTGTTCTGTGCATCACCTAAGTAAAGAGAAAAAGGAGCAATAGGTTATAACTTATTGGATATGACCAGCCGTTCACTAGGCCTTTGCGGATAATGCCGGCAGAAAAATTGGCAGAATCCGGTACTTTTTCAGGCAAGTTTCATGCATGTTTGGTATGTGGATAAAGAAATGGAGCAGAATTCGAGGAATTGCCCGCCATAAGGTTTGTATGGTTCTGCCAATTTCACTGCTTTTCGAGCTGAATCTGCCACCTTTTCGAGCATTATCCGCCGGTGCCTACTGGTCACCAAGGTAACGCGGCAGTATACAGTCAGATAGCACCAAATTTTTGAATTATTTTCACGTTGTCTCCACTGTCTTATATTGCATGAATAAAGTATACATAAATGTCGATTCAGCTTGTCTTATTCAAGTTATTGATTGCGGTTAACCCTTATTTTAGTTCCCCCTTTTTTTAGTTCCGTTTTTAGGTCGTATTAAAATGGTGGACTTATATTCGGAAAAATACGGCGCTTTTAAAATGTGTTAAAAAATACTATTAGCTCAGCATCCGAGTTGTGTGTTGTATCCATTTCAGATAATTCAACGTGCCAGGCGACCAATGGAAAGCGACTGCAGTGGATTGCTCCCGCCGATGGCCAGCATAACTTAGCCAGTGCCACTGAGGTGTGCGGCCGCATGGGATACGTTCTGTTCGACTTCAGCGTCTTCACCGATCTCCGATTCGGACTGCGAAGGTGCGTCGAAAGCATGCTGAAGGACATGGCTGGCGACCTGCATGAGGACCCGGTTGACGTGTGGACGTCGTTCGTCCACAGGGGACGGCGTGTCGTTTATCGGCAAGGTCTCCAGACCGAGTCTGTCCGCTTTGACGCCAGCGGTTCCAGCGATGCACATGTCGTCTGCGTCAGTAAGTGCCGTGCTCAATGTCAAAATCGTGTACTGTAAAGTGAGAAACTTTTGCTGGAGATTTTAAAAATATCGCTGTTTTCGCACCCATCTCACATTCGCGGACATATAATATGTAAAAAAAACTTTTTTGACGGGCAAACAAAGTGCAATTCACTCTGTTACAATGAAATGTTGCCAAGTAAAACACAACACGAAAAGGTTATAAGTCTCCGCAAACTGCTCTGCACATTTATAGTAGACAGTACAAAAGCCAACTGAAGTGATCGATTTGCGAAAGTTTCTTATCGCGAACCAGTGCAATTCTTGAAAACAATGAATTTGCGCTCCGCCGAAGTTTGTCGCTATACGATGTTCATCCTGCGAGTGAAGCGACCATTCCAATTGAATGTGTTAGGAAATGGGTTCTTCATAGCAGGCGCGTACACCGCTGTTGGAGGTGGTCTGGCAGGAGGAGGGGTTGGGGTGGGGTG